GAGATCATAATAAATATTAAATTATGTCCAATTCGTCCGATCATTAAACCCATTATCGGAGACGCAAATATCGATATGAAATATATTGAACTGTTTATCACATTAGCCTCCGGACCACTGAACCCAAACTTCCGCTTATAGAATGGTCTGAAAACAGTTTTTAATAAGAATTGAATTAAATAATTGATGAAATGGTGGAGTAATTAATTAATTAATTAGTTCTCAAATAGTTATAGATGAGAATAATAGTGATTACTGGAAATATAATTTTGTAAATTCATACATTCCTAAAGAGATGAATGGAAAGACAGCGCAATAATTGAAAACAATGATAAATATAAGTGCCCAGTAATCAAATTTAAATTGTGTGATGTCTTTGATTTGAATCTTATCATTTGGTTTGGTTTGTTTATCAGCTCTTGTATTGTCTATCAATCTCTGGGCCCGAGTGTCCAAAAATGCTAAAACTATGGCCAAAATGAGATCAATAGCGGGCAGAGCGGCGACACTCATGAAAACAATTCCCAAACATTGATATCCAAGAATGTATTGATTGACGTAATTATAAAGCGGTTCCATAGCTATGAAGTTAATAGTACTGCCGAAGCGATTCACACTTAACTGCATTCCAAACACAAAATTGAGTTCATTTTCGGGAAACCATTTAATAGCTCTCATATAACCGATTAGTGTTAAGTTATCGCTGCCTAACGAAAACACAAAGCGCGCGAATAACATCAGCCAAAATTGGTCCACAAACGCACCCACACCTAATAGCAACTGTCCCAACACAGTGAAGCAGCAACATATGATTGAGCCCAGCCTTATGCCAAAATACCTGTCTACTAAATAACCGCCAATTAAGTTGACAAATATGTTTGACCATGCAAACACTGAGTATAATAATGTAAATGTAGATGTGCTAACGTTCATGTCCTCTATAGTGTGCTCTTGTAATGACCCAGGTGCATCAAAACAAAAGTAGTTTCCTTTAGAGCCAAATAATAATATTATATCGAATTTTTTGAAATTGAAACGACATTTTATTGCATTATTTCAATGGGAAGTAAAAAATTCTAGAACTCAAAAACTACATGGCCAATTGTAATAAATTATTTCTAATAATCTATATACCAAAATGTTCATTATGAAAGATTAGTCAATCGTATATTAGGATTTTTCTAATTACTAAAGAATATTATAGTTCTAGAACCTTTTATTTCCCATAGGAATAATGCGTTAAAAGTTATCGTTTTAATTTCGTATTCACATTATATATGAATTAACCGGTTTAGTAATAGGCTTAGTAATAAAAAGTAATGTTAAAACCCATGCATTAAACTTATATTAGTCAACCATATACTTGCATTATTAGCAATTTATATTAAAAATACACATTTAATATTACAATAAATTGTTTATTTATGTCATAACACGTTGTTTACAAAAAATTACTTATTTTAATTGTGTTTAAATATGGATCAAAAGCTTTATCGAGAGGTTTTAAAAACTAACGCTAAACCCGACAAAACTACAACTTTGTTTGTTATAAATAAACATATAAGTGATAAATCAAAACTAAATGGTTCAAAAAAACGCCCGGATCCATTTACTTGGGAGACAAACAAAAGGAAATATTTGAGAAACTCGGTAAATAATAATTATAGTTATCAATAATTTTATTAAAATAACAATTAATTATAGTATAATGATTATATCGATGCGAATGGAAATCATAAAAAAGGCAAAAATTTTAATTTTGTGCAAAAATGTTGTCGAAATAATTGCCATTTGAATATTTCATATGAAAATCAATTAATGTCTTTCAATCAGTAAGTAAATATTTTAAATATACATGCACAATCTATTTTCTTATTAAAGTATTTATTAGTGAAATAAAATAAAATAAATAAATAAATTAATTAATAATTATAAATTTTTACCATGTAGTTTTTGTTCATTGAGTGCTTGGGGTCCTCAAAATGAACATTTGGTACAATTATTGCAAAGAAAAGAGTCAAAGGAAGGGAGAAATACAAGAAAAATGTGGGAATATTTTTTCAGTTTCGAAGGATTTAGAAAAAAAGTTTGTAAAGAATTTTTGTTAAAATTATACCAAATTTGTAAACAAAGATTTGAAACCATTCGTAATATAATGGAAAATAATGGCAAACCTATAGATAAAAGAGGTTTACTTAATAAAAGTAAGCTTAAGGTAAATGTTTGGGAAAATTTGAAAGAGTTTTTAAAAATAATTCCGACAAAAAAATCTCACTATAATTCACTGAAAGGCAAAAAATTATTTTTTATAAATACTGATTTAAATTTGAAAAAATTGTTTCATTTATTCAAAGACTTTTACAAAGGTAAAAATAGCGAAAATCTTAAATTAAGTGAAACAACATTTAGCAATTATTTTAAAACACATTACAATTATGGGTTTAAAAAATATGAAATAGATAAATGCAATTTTTGTACACTACGATAAAAATCCTAAATTTTTAAATGAATATGAAATGCATATTCTAGAATCAGTTGAATATAATTGTTTAAAATATGATTTTATTAATAAAAAACCCGATGTTTTATGTATTGAGTTTGATTATTGTTCAAACAAACCCTGTCCTAGACTTAATTGCAATGAATATTTTTATAGGCGATCACTATTTTTATACTTATTTAATGTTTTTGTTCATAAAACTTCACTAAATTTTATATTTCATTCATTGGAGGGTCAATTTAAAAAGGGTTGCAATTCTGTATCGAGTTATGTATATTATGTTATAAACCATTTATTGCATAATATAAATCTTGATAATTATAAGCAGTTAGTTTTTATTTCAGACAATGCAGGTGGGCAGAACAAAAATTGGGTATTTGTAAAATTCTCTCTATTTGTTTCAATTATATTGAATAAACAAATTACACACATTTTTCCCATACGTGGACACAGTTATAGCATATGTGACACACATTTCGGAATTATTGGTCAAAAAATTACAAAAAAAATAATTCAATTACCAGATGAATATTTAAATATTATTAAAAATATTAAAAAATTTAATCTGGTAAATACTGATGTTTTAAATTTTGATAATATATTTAAATCTATAATATCTATTGAAAAAAAGGTTAAATTAATGTCTATTAAACGCATAGATTATGAGCCAAATGGCAATGTATTATTTTCTAGTGATTATGGACAAGGTGATAAAGTTTATAATTTACTGAATTCTGATATAAATGATATAAAAACTTGTGTTAATAATATTAAAAAAGACATAAAATCCAAGTTATCTGATGATAAAATTAAAGACATTAAACGTTTAATAGAATATATCGATGACGATAAAAAAGAGTTTTATGTTCAATATTTAAAACAATTTATAAAATAATGTAAGAATTGTTGTAATAATTGTTGTAATAATTGTTGTGTACTTATAATAAAATAAAATTGTTATAGAACTTGAATAAATATTTGCATTTAATGTAATGCATGGATTTTAACATTAGTCTTTATTACTAAGCCTATTACTAAACCGGTTAATTCATATTTGCAATTCAAAAGTTTGTCTTTTTGAGTCACTCCAACCAATTGTGTCACTGCCATAGGGTGACCAGACGTCCTCCGTTACGGAGGATTGTCCTCCATTTGACCATTTTATGTACCGTCCTCCGGAGACCTTCCGGAGGACTATACTTTGTCCTCCGTTAAGGGTTTTAGGAATATATTATATTAAAATATTATCTTACAAATATATTTTCTTAGTTTCTATTATTTCTAAAATATTTTACCGTTCAATAATTTAAAACGTTCTCTTTATGCTATAACTATATTTTAAATAAATACGTTTAATATAAATTGGTAATTTATGTACTTCTTAAAGTAGGTTTGATTTGAGCTCATTTTATCTAAGATCTGTATTATCGTCCATGATGAACACAGTTTAAGGTTATAATAAAGAAT